ATTTCATCCTTGTAGACTTGAGTGTGGCAAGTACCTTTTAAGTCATGATGCTGGGGCAGATTACTGTGGTGTCAAACAAATGTCTGTTGTCAGGTAAGAAGAAATAAAGAAAAGAACATTATTCTGTGTTTCCAAAGGTATTTATTAATGCCTCATTTGGATCTGCACTAGTTCTAAGGACATGTCCAACAGCAAACTATGCCCTGATGGGCACAGACTCTCCTAGAACTAGCAATAACAATAAAGGTACTTAAAATTTTTATAAGAGTTTTCTGAGATTCAAGAATAATGTATCCAAAAGACTGCATACATGCAGAGATTTATTGGGCACTTTATGCATCCTCCCAATCTCTTACACACAAAAAATTCACCCTTTAGCGATTTCTGATTATATTAACTGTAGTTGTGTGTTTGATTATATTAACTGTACTTGTATGTTTTATATGATTATATTAACTGTACTTGTATGTTTTATATGATTATATTAACTGTACTTGTATGTTTGATATGGTTATTTCCTAATGCTCATTGATTAAAGAAACTCTGTTTATGAAAGTTTTTGTTACATAAACCGCTCAATATTCTTACAGTGATTACCAGACCCAGCGGCCACATAACTCATCTAGAAAGAGACGTGCAGTGGATGAGACCATTCCATGGATACCAATAGACCCAACGCTCCTCCTACCATTGCATGAGGAAAAGAATAGGATACCTGCCACATTCATGCCAAAAGGTATTTTAGACTTGGGCATTGCGATAACAAGAAAAAAAGACATGATTGTTTTTTTATCTATGGTATATACTTGTTCTAAAACAAATTTAAAAAAAAAATATTTCAGGGTAATACGTAGGGTGGTTGGTTCATGAACAGATCATTGAAAACTAGCCCTAAATTCCTTTTTCCATGTATAATGTGATCTGGTGCATTGAAAACTAGCCCTAAATTCCTTTTTCCATGTATAATGTGATCTGGTACATTGAAAACTAGCCCTAAATTCCTTTTTCCATGTATAATGTGATCTGGTACATTGAAAACAAGCCTTAAATTGCTTTGTCCATGTATATTGTGATCTGGTACATTGAAAACTAGCCCTAAATTGCTTTGTCCATGTATAATGTGATCTGGTACATTGAAAACTAGCCATAAATTGCTTTGTCCATGTATAATGTGATCTGGTACATTGAAAACTAGCCATAAATTGCTTTGTCCATGTATAATGTGATCTGGTACATTGAAAACTAGCCCTAAATTGCTTTGTCCATGTATAATGTGATCTGGTACATTGAAAACTAGCCCTAAATTGCTTTGTCCATGTATAATGTGATTTGTTACAATCCAATTCCAAAATAAGATTAATAAGAAGACACAAATTAACTAAAGGAGTTTTGTGTTTTTCTTTTTTTTTTAAAGTAAAAATCCTTATGATCATGTAAAAGTTATCCGATGTAACAATTACTAACTTAATGGGGGTGAGACAGGTGATTTGTTACAGATGGGGAAATGATTAGTTCAAATGAATTGTGGTTAAACCAATATAACTTAATACCCATATGAGATGCACAATCAATTGAAAAATGAATTTCTTACTTCTGCTTTATGTATTCTTTGTAACGCAACATATTAAATTAACATAGTGTTTTTTTTAATTATTTCTTTATTTTCTAAATAATTGTTTTAAAATCTAAATAGCTTTAACTTTAAGATAATTTTAACTTTCATCTTTTTAAAATGAAAATTATTGTTCAAGTCACAATTCCATTTTTTTAACACCCCACCCTCCCCCAAAAATTGACATTGTCAATCATAGTTTACTTCTACGCAAACTTGAGAGATATGGGATCCAAGGCACTACTAAAACATGGATCTCTAGCTTCCTCAGCAACTGATGTCAGGCAGTAGTGGTGGAGGGTACAAGCTCCTCCTTTGTCGGTGTTAAGTCAGGGCTCGGTGCTAGGCCCCTGTTTGTTCCTGGCATGCATCAATGATCTACCCGAGAAACTGACATCCCGAGCTACACTGTTCGCAGATGATACGTGTATAGGACGATCGCCAACAGTTCTGACCGGAATCACCTACAAGATCTCAATCGGTTAGCTGAGTGGGAGATGAACTGGGACATGGAATTTCATCCGACCAAGTGCAAGACGCTGTCAGTCTCTAGAAGTTGTAATCCTCTACACCACCCTTACGAACTGCATGACGATATACTTAATCCAGTTTCCTCCGTAAGGTACCTCGGTGTTACCATTCAAAGAGAGGTTTGCTGGGACGAGCATACATGTGTGCAACCAGGCAAACAAGACACTTGAGTTCTTAAAACTAAATCTATAGATTGGCAACTCCAGTGTGAAAAAAAGAGCCTATAACGCCTTTGTCCGGCCGCTTTTAGATTACACATCTTCAGCCTGGGACCCATTTACCCAGAAGAATATCAACAGGTTGGAGGCGGTCCAGCGACGGGCAGCACTCTTTGTCGTGAACCGCTACAGGAATACCTCTAGTGTTGACAGCATGCTGGAAACACTGGGCAAGTCACCATTGGAGAAACGATGACGACTACCCAGGCTCTCCATGATGTAAAAGATAAATAATGGGCGGGTCCACTGCTCCAACATTAAACAAAAACTTGCCCTTCTCTCCCCTATGGCCCTTGCAACCAGTGAAATATCCTCTTTAACACCAGGCACAGAAACATTGCAAATCTCCTCTACATGCATAGGAGCCAGAATCATCAATAAATTTATTGTGGGCCATTAATATATACAAGAAGAAAATTCTAATCTGTACATTTTCTTTTCATTTCCCACAGATTGTGTTCTGGAGAATCCTGGGAAAAAGAAAAATGATTTTGGCCATGGCAATAATAAGAGAAACAAGAAACCAAAAGAGAAAAAGAAAAAAAGAAACAAGACTTCATAGCATTAAGAGTTCTTAGTTTAATGTTTCTTAACATTTTTTTTTTCTTTCAAGCATAAATGACTGCATTTATTTTAGGCAAGTGCTTTCTTTCCAAGCTCTTTTTGACTGGAAAGAACGAAATGAGTTAATCAAAAAAAGGTTGAGCAAAGCATTGCTGTATTTTTACTGTGAGAGTAAACTGATAAAACCGTGCCTTTTATATTATTTAAATTAAATCCTTGCATTTAACATGTAATGAGATCATATTTTTTCTCTCACGTAGTAAGATCAGACATGCCAAATACATTTTGAAGTGCGAGAATGTCTTGGCAAGAACCTGGTACTGGTAACCTGAAAACTAAGTCTTTCAAATCACTTAATGCCATAGGTTTGTTTACCATGGCGGAGTGATCTTGTTGTGCTTGGAACTTCATCTTATTTTTTCATATCCAATGCTTTGGTTGGATTTTAATTTTTCTGTTATGATTTATTACATGATGCAATTGATGGACATTAAAGTACTGAAAATGAAACTCATAAACTTTCTTCTCTCATTCTTAGACATAGGTGGTAACTCTGAAATGCTGTTATGATAATGTTAGTCTAAGAATCCCAAAATGACTGATCGTGTTGGCAAATTTAAAAAAAGAATTAATTTATTTTCTTTTAACCCATATCAGTATAGGAGTAGATGCCATATCATATGGTCTTTGATATTTAAAAAAGATAAAACAGTTTGGGAACCTTTGTCTTAGTTCCAAAAATGATGTGCTTATAGCATAAAAACATAAACACATTTTGCTGCATCAATAATAGAGCAAATGTAAAATATGACAACACCTTCCACAGATGGTTCTACCCCCATCTTAATACTCCAATAAAACCAAAAATAAAACAATTTTTGTTTAGCCTTTTAGGAAGCCAAAGTAAAAACAAAGAAATTTAAACTGTCTTTGTTGCAATTACCTGAGAATACAATATCAACTATAAAATTTTAAAAAAACATTTTCTAAGAACTATATAAATGTTTAAATAGCATTTCAAAACATGACCACAAAACACAAAAACCTAACAACATCTGTTAGTATTAAAAGTTGAGATTCATCAATTTGAAATAAAAGTTCCTCTCCTTGCCCTTCTATGTGACTCCCAACAAACATTTTTTTTATGTATTCTTAACACATATTTAATAATTTATTAAATGGAATTATGCATACAAATGAGCTAAAACAACATTACTCAAATACTTGTCATATTTAAAACAAAAATTACCTCAAACAACAGTTACATTCAAAGAATTACACTAATTACAGTAGTGATAATAAAAAACCCCACCTCATTACATTTATTCCAATGTTTCTCCCCGATATCAAATAATTAAATCTTTTTAATTATAAATTACGGATCATAAGTTCAGTCAATGTTTGATCTCAATTACTTATGGAAATATGGTCTATGATTTGATGGAATAACCTAGCTAATGTTTTAATCAAATGAACATACCATATCAACTGAAACAATCAGTTGAATTAAGTGAATCAAAAAATATTTTTTTAAATGTATTATGCATTCAAGACTATTATACATATAAACATGTATAATCCTCATTTAACAGAATGATCAGAGATTCCTTACTTTTTTGGAGCGCCGCAACCCCTATTCATTTCAAAATATTTCCAGCACCCCCATCTAGATGTCAAAACACATTTGCTGCACATCCCAACAATAGGATATATACTAATGAAAATAAATCTGATTTACTGGGGTCTTCTCATACCCATTGACACTGCTTGGTTAAGAACCCTTGCTGTAACAGAATGATCATACAATACATATAATACTCCTAATATAATCATCTTATAATTATAACAGAATAATCATCATCTGATACAGGAGGATAGTTTTTATGATCATTCTTTTACAGTGGGAATATATAACAACTCAAAAATCCTCTTAAGAACAACAGAGAAAAGCAATCAAAGAATGTTAGAATAGATAAAGATGGAGATTCAAAGCGAAAAATCACTTTTCCTTTAAAAGTCAGGAACAGTAGAAACTCAATATTCCTAGATTGAGGGGGGAGGGGGGGAGGGGGGGGTGTTTGTCATAATTTCAGATAATCAATTACATCACACTACACACTAAACCTAATAAAAAATAATAATACAAAATCAACAGCTAAATAAAAAAATATTCATTTTTATGTATGGAATATTTGATCCTAAATAAAAATCAGTTTTGTGTCATGATTTTTGCTATGTCTCCTTTTCAACCAACCAAAGACACTTTAGCTGGCCCATTAACTCTGAACAAATGTCTTGTGATGACGTTTCCCTCTCTTGGAGATGTACTTTGCCGAGTCACAAAATGAGAATGGAATAACTGAAAGTCAAGGTATTTGAGTTTCTGCTCTGATACTCATACATTCAGTTGGGTACTCTGCGATGAAACCCTACAGCTGTTTTATAAAAGTCTTACTACTGGGTAAGTGCTCCATTACTGCTTTGTGAATGCAATGTGTTACTTGAACTGTAACAGTTTCAAGTGGTGAAAAGTTTTAACACAATTTTCTGCATTTTTTAAAATGATACGCAACACTCTAAGACCCCCTGCCCCCCCACTCTGAACACATCTTAAGCTTGCTTAAAACATCATACTCTTCCTGCCCCAGTTGCATATTCCACTGTGTGTAAATCCTTAATTACGCAAGCCTTAAGAACGGACACATTTCAGCTAAGTTAACAAATACTTTCCTTAGTTTAGGAAGGGCGTGGTCTGCTGATGCAATTACTTTATTCTACTGTTTGCTCATTCTATAAGAATAAAATCTTCTATCACATCAAAAAATTTTAGATAACGAATCAGCTGCGGGGGCAGGGGTAAAATTTCTACATTTTTGTCTATGTTCGGCTGTACAGACTTCCGAATTTTCACCCGGCACAAAGCTTGAAGCTCAGACGGTTGTGAGACTTGACAGTACAGCAGGTCAAACAATTCCTGTTTCTTTTCTGCTGCATCAGGCACAAAAAGTATGGTGGATTTCAGTCTACCTAAATTGTCTTGCTGGAGCCTCGCCCCCGCAGCAAGGAGAAGTCGAACCAAACTTATCCCGAGATTTGTCTGCGACTTCAGCGGGTGTAAGGAAAAGCCTTTCATGGCCATCATTAAAGGTGAGAACCTAAGAGTATCTTGAGCGTTCACGTCAGCGCCGTAAGCCAGCAGAAGTCTGATCTTTTCAACATCTTGTATGTTGCATGCATAGTGCAGGGCAGTTTCCTTCATCTTTGAGCAGGCATGGACGTCAGCCCCCCATTGCAGGAGAAGTTGGACAGCATCAGGTCGAGATTGGTGGGAGAAACAAGCAATTTGTAGTGGGCTCATGCCTAATGTGTTTGTTTTATTCACATCAGCGCCGTAGCTGTTTAGGATCTGGTAGGGAAAAAAATGTATCTTACAATACAAAGAATGAGGTGTTTTCCCCTTAGCCTTACGTTTTCAGCAAAAACTGGGAAAGGACCCCCAATACATTTATCAGGAGCCTTTACACATAGTAAATATAATGATAACAGCCGAGAGTTCCTATGACTTGCCTACTCATTCCATTTTTTTTTATTTCTATTTTGATTAGAGTTAATATTTTACATTTTTTCCATCCATTAAAATGAACAAAGTAAAAGCATAGCCAAGACATTCATATTCTTTATGCTTCTACAATTTTTGTAAATAAAAATATTAAATTTTAAAAAATGGGAGAGAAGCATTAGCTCTTAGAATACCTTCATAGATTCAATGTCACCACATTCACTGGCATGACTTAGGTACGCTCCTACATGAACACTGGCTCCACCTTCAATAAGTAACTTCAAAGTTTCTACAGATGAGGCTCGTATAGCAATCTCCAGGGGTAGCCCCTCCGGCACATTAGCATCACAGCCTGCCCTCACCAGGATGTCAACAAGCCTTGTACTCTGAGCATAGCATGCTCTCACTAAAGGAGTGTCCCCAACCATATCTGTGCTATTGACGCTGGCCCCATGTTTAATGAGGAGCTCCACAACTGGAATATTACCTTCTGCACACGCAATGTGCAAGCATGTGTTGCCATCACTATCCTGTGATTACAAAGAATGGACAAAGAAAAAAGTCAATACACGCAAGATAAAATGTAACCTTTTACAACTTACTGACCCATTATTTATTAGAAACTTGATGTTAAAATAATTTTAAGGATAATAATTAGACAATTTTGTACTGATAGTCACAAAATACACGATTAAGCGTGAACATGTACTGATTGAATTGAAAATAATATGTGTTATTTTGCAATGAACTTGATAAAATTCTGTTTAGTCATTAATCAATTAGTCATTAAACAGTCATATCTGTTTTACTTGCAAACTTACAGGTGCATTTAAATTTGCCTCAGCTTCTATGATCTTTCGAACGATTCCTGTATTTCCTTTATTGTGGCTGCATGCAAAATGAAGAGGTTGCTTGTTGTAGAATGAGGAGCATTTGTTAACCTGGGCATTGTGATGCAGCAGAACTGTCACAAGATCCTCTCTGTTGTATTTGCAAGCTAAACACAAAGGGGTTAAACGGCTGCTCAGTTCCTTGTCAATCACCAATTCATCAGAGAAGCAGCTGACACGAAGAAGCATGTCCAGCTCATTGAATGATACATGTTCCCAGTTGACTGGCTCTAGCATATTCATATCATAGAGAAGATAACCCTGCAAGAATGGTAATTGGATGTGCATAAAGGCAACATATTAATTTTTTCTATTATTTTGTATCTATCAATAGATATCTGTGTGATTTTCCCATGCATTAACAACTATGACACCTGAAGTATTATCTCATTTATCAGTACTTCAATTTTTTAAATTTTTTACAGTATCTTAGAAAAAATTTATTTCAATTTTTATTCACCAAAAAAACTTTAAAAATTGTTTTTAAAATTAAAAGAGTTTATATGGAAATTATACTATAGGTACATAGTCATAGTATGTTTCCCTGTGAAGGCCAGAATTTAACAAGTATGTTGGTGAAGATGTTCCAACCATCTGTCGACACCATATGAACTTGCACATTGGAGAATACAGTATCTGCTTTCGTGTGCTTTTATGGTGCTTTTTTCTATAATTTGCACTTTTCTAAGAAGGATTAACATGTAGAGTAGTTGCACCATTGATAGGTTCCACAAAGTTGATAAATAAAGTGGTTTACTGTTTGATGAGTCAAGTGCTATTCCATTATATGCCTGCCATTGGTCAATCATTACTGACTTTAATTTATGCCTTTCTACCCTGTCTGGAGCATTGGCCGTCTACAAGAATTTTCCACTCATCACGGTCCTGTGCTTGCCTTTCCAATTGATTCCAAGTGTATCCCATATTTTGAGTGTCTGAATCATTACTGAGGGGCTGTAATAATTGGTTTTCGTGTATCTGCTCATCTATTTGTAACATAAAACATGAAGCACTCACCTGTCTTATGACAGATGCCACCAGAGACCCACAGTTACAACAACAAAGAAAAGCTGCTTATTTTTCAAAATAAAAATAAAATTGAGGTGAATTAAAATTGAATTAAAATATAAATGAAATAAAATAATGTAGCCTAGATATAAATTCAAATATAAGGTCTATATTGCAGTACTGATGAGGATAATATCTAAGTTAAGTATTTTTAACTTAACTCTCTGCAGGGCAATGTTTTGGTGTTTTTTTAGGTCATCTCACATAATGGGATACCATAAAAGGAGTAGCCAATTAATACCCATCATGTTATATATTTAATTTTTCCCAAATGAATGGGGATTCAAATTCTATAAAATGTGCTTGAAAATGATTGTGTGTTTTCTTCAATTATTTTACATTTTAACATTTTTCAGACAAACAACATAGTGTAAGAAGGTTAAAAAAAAACATGGCAGAAATAGTTTACTATTTATTGGAATTTAATTCTGCAATATAATAATAATATACAAAATTTTCAAAAAGAATTTTACAGGTACAACCATTAGTTTTCTTTTAATATTTTCTTTTTGGTAAAAAATGCGTAAATAGAGTTTCTGTGTTTAAATTTAGACAAATGATCTAACCATGCAGAATTATTCAAATACAAAGTTGAAAACCTATTTTTTAATATTAAAAAGTTCATATTTAATTTTTTTAAATATATTTAAATACATTATAACAACTAATTTGTGTAATTATACTTTTTTTATTTTAATAAAAATTAAATAAATAGAAAATAAAAATAAAGCTATGGCTTACATGACTAACTCAGGCCTAAACAAATACAAATACATTCTAAGAGTCAGAGTCTTCTGATCTTAGGGGATGTTCTAACAATAAAAAATTTTGTCACTTATTTAGACAGAAATGTTTAATCACATTTCAAACATTTAATTATCATTATAGTCTGATGCTCTTTCTTTTTGAGTAAGTAACAAACACCGCAGCATGGAATTAAGTTCATGTACATAAGTAAACAAAGACAAATGTTGAATTCTGTAGGTGTAATTTTCTTCCAGTTAGTATAGAGGTACTGTTTTTCTTCTCTCATGTGGTTGGTGTAGTTACAAATTTTCAACATGATCTCCTGACAGAAAGAGTGTTTGAAGAAATTTCCTGTGGACGAAAAATAGTTTATTTATGTATTGTTAGCATGAAAAATTAACAGAATTTATTGATCTAGCCAGATATAACAATAATAATAGTTATAATATAAATTATTACATAATGTTGGGATAAGAAAAGTGACATATTTTTTGTCCAAACAATTATCAAGCATAAAATCCCAAATATTTGGCCTATAGCTATAGCCTATATACTATATATCATTCATTAGTACTGCAATTATAAAATCAAATATTCCTTACCTGGAGTTTTTATTTTTTGCATATCATTTCTAGTTGCCTGCTTTTCAGAATCCAGAGCATTGAGACCATGTTTTCTTTTAGGGATAAATTTAGGTATGGTCTGCTGAGGGGGATCCTGGTTCACATCTTCATATGTTTTGTTCTGAGTCCAAGTCAATGGGCAATGTATTATCTGCACTGATTAGAAAAAAAAAAAAATTAAATATAAGGCTATATCAAATAAACTACCTAGTACATATTTTGAACAAAAATAAATTAATAACTTCCATTATTTACTTTTTAGAGTTAGGCAAAAGACAAAAATAACAACAAAAACAATGAAAACTATAATCAGCTGTTTGATCAGCTGATTATGTAAGTAAACATTTTTTTGTTATTTTTAAAGTCAAAACACGATTGAAAAATAAAATTATCATTTCAACATTGTTAGACTGTAATTAAGTACCTATCATTAAACTGTACAATATATTTGGTTGTTCAGACTTTTTAGAAATGTTAATTTTAGTGGCCTAATTGAGTGGATAGCTAGACTTACATTGTTTGAAACTGTACTTGTGTAGATAAAAAAACATCCACGTTTTCATTTGATGTTTTTTCATATTGATCTGTGTCTCAATCATCAAAAGAGTCATCTAGGGATTCATCTCGGTCAATTTTAATGTTTCCTAGACTCATTTTGTATTTTAAAATTATTTTTTCTTGATGCAGCTCGATGGATGACGTACATGCATCTCGGTCGCGGTAATTTAATAACAAATTTTGTTTTATAAAGGCTCTGGGTATTGGTAATAAACTAGTAAACTTCTAGGGAGCTATTTGTAGTAAACTACCAATAGCTTCTAGAGAGCTATTGGTACTCCACTACCAGTAGCTTCTAAGCCTCTATTGGTAGTTTACTATAAAAAAAACTACCAACTGGTGATAGATTGATGTAGTGCAATAATTATTGGTAGTCACAATTTATTTCTGATTACAACACTGAAATGACGCTAAGTGTGTATATCGCCAAAAAAAACATGTGCCAACAAAATTTATTTTGTGTCTAGTCTCATAAATTCACTCCAATCAGATTTTCAAGACATAATACTACACTTATTTTTCTTTCTTTGTATATATTTTATTTATGTATCACTGCTTATGTTTTCATCAAAATTATGTGCAGTTTCAAACATTGATTTGCATACTCAGCATTGCATTAAAAAATAAATAGTAAATAGTGATTCCTAGACATGAAATTGTGTTATGGTTGCACAATATACCCAATGATATTTTTTAGTTGTACATAAAAATAATGATGGCTTTATAATTATAAGTTAATGAGGGCTCATTTATGTAAATAACACTCAGTAGACATTTCTTCCAACAACAGAAAATCAAAAGCGGGGGGGGGGGAGCTGGATTTTATTTTTACTGCACATCTTATTTTGGCCTTGGCAAAGAAGAAGCTGGGTAAAAAAAAATTCTGACTATGATCCCCTTCCCCCAGGTCATACAGTCATACATCTATCTAAGATCTATATTAGGTATATTATAAATTAAATAGCAATATAGCCAAATCTGAGCATGGGGAACGCTACAGAAGATAGTGTTAAAACTTTAAAACCGTAATGTAGATTTTATAATTAGTGCCGAGGTGTTGTCACTAGTACAAACTAGTAATAAATGAACGGGGCAATACTTTGTCAGCCTCATTGGAAGCTCAGATTTTGGTGTAATTTTATTGGCTGGACTACCAATAGCTCTCTAGAAGCTATTGGTAGTTTACTACAAATAGCTCCCTGCCCTAACTAGAAGCTATAGGTAGTAACCTACCAATAGACACTTTCTTAATAAAAATGTATAATTAAAACTTTCATTTTTATAAATTAAAACCGATTTGTAACAATATAAATTTTAATTCCTAACTAAAATTTAAAAAATACATATAAAAAAATTAATTAACTCCACCCCCTTCTCACTTGGAGAAATCACCATATTTCTCTATCGTTGGCCCTCACAGTGTTAACACGTCACTTAGTCTTTGTTTCACTATCAAACTCTTTATAATTATATTTCCTCACAACTACAATAGAATCATTTATTGCTTCTTCAATTTTATACAAAAATTGAGGAAAATAGTTATGGAAGAGGTTAAATTAACTTGAAATCCAGGCTCACTGAGACAGGATTGGTACAAAAATAGTATGAAATAGTCCAATTCCAATAAATAATAAATATGGAGTATGGAGAGTTTGCCCAATGATTATGTGTCCCCAGCAATGGGACACTGTTCTCACCAGCTTTATCAGTTGTCACAATGACAATTGACAATTGTGCTTTTAAATCCAACATTTACACTGCAGCAGGTTGGTACTATAATACTTAATAATTATAGGCTAATAATTTAATAATAAAATTTAATTATCATCCTGAGGTATATGGTCTTAGTCTTAGTCTTATGAATCATTGTCAGTCATTGAATGATGTGCTTCTATAATCCATTATTTGCCATTATGTCCATATATTCTCCTAAAATATTAAATATTTTATACTTTTACTAGGCGTAAGCTTCATTCTTTACTTATTCTCATTCGCAGTCTTAATAAGGCTAAGACTCTTCGTTTGGGCCTACTAATTATTAATTATATTTACTACTATTACTATGACTATAACTATAATATTACTATACTATTTAGGCTTAGGCCTACTTACAATTAATATAATACTTAGTTAGTAAACTTAGTAGTTAGTAGCCTATACTATTTAAAAATATTTAATTAAGCACCTACGCCATAATTTGCAATAGACGAAGTTAAGAATAAGAATAGTCTATTTAGTCCTAATAAAATTTATGGACTAAATAGCCGACAAAGCAATCAGAATTCCCAATTATAAAAAGCTTTTCACTACTTCTGCTTTGATTCAGTGTCTGTTGTCATTGTTGTGAAAGGGAAATTATTCTACTTCACCAAGAGCCAAAATGGCAAGTCTAAAATCCATTAAATAATATTAAACCGTGCAAGTGTAAACTTAAGTAGTAATCCGCAGATTTAAAATATTAAGAACGCATTATTGGGCTTTGAAAAAATTTTACCACATTTTATGAATTTAAAAAAGACAAAAAATATGCATATAGTACATCACACAAAACAAATTAACGCACATACACACAAAAACAGAAGAAAAATATTGAAATGTCTTAAAACTTAAAATAAGACACTAATAAGTACGACCCTTAAATTGACATATTAGTTTTAAGGTAAATTAAACAGCTTTAAGAATTTTTGAAGAATTAAATTATTTTGTAAGTGAGTTATTGTTTTTTAAAGAGAGAAGCGCAAACGACTTTAAAATTGTATAATTGTAATCTAGTCTATTATATATATATATATATATATATATATATATTTAAATTTACTCAACTATTTCAGCTGATTAGAAAATAGCATACTAAAAAGTCTAAGCCACTAAGAGCCCTCGCAATACCCAAATAATGAAAATGCCTAGGTCTAGGCCTAACAAAAACTTAAGTTTTCAAGACAACTTTAAATTTAAACCACTGTCTAAATACTCGAAAAGTATGTAATATTTTAATATTAGATATCATCAGTTTTTATAATAGTGGCATATAACCTATTAAATTATATAACGCTTTTTTTTTCATTGGTATGGGGAGAGCTGAATTTCAAATAAAATACAATTTTTGCTTCCTTATAATCAATTATAATCTGATCAGTGATCAGGACTTGATTGAATTATTGAGAAGTAAGTTAGATCTAGTTTAGTAAGAATCTATTACTACGCAGGTTTTCTCATTGGTTTAAACAAATTAAATGTAAATTTATATTTCAAATCAATTCGATTCATTTTTTAAATATGTTTATTGATTTTTTAAATTGTTTAAATTTTTTATTTTTTTAAATTAATTTTTACTGAATGTTTTCTTAGTCAAGCCGACTCAAGCCGCTCTTACTTTGGGACAAAATTTAAAATAAATGTGTTGCAAGTTTTAACGGCCATCTAAATCTAATCTTTATCTTCATGTTGTCATTCGCAACTGCTTTGCTTGGTTATGTTCTCAAAATATATTTTTTAAATTTGCATGCGCTTAAATAATTACATTTGGTACTTCAAACTCTGAAATGTGAAATGTATCGAATGAGAGTACCGGATGAGTAGTAAAAAAAACCTGGCCTCAACGTGGACAAGTATATACTGCTACAAACTGTGCTCTCAACAATAGGTGAGAATTGAATAATTTTGTTTTGCTTGACTTTCCACAGGTGATGAATTTTTCTATTGCATATGCTGATCTTATTTTAGTCACAAAAAAAAAGTATAATATTCATAGCATTCATTTTCAATCTAATTTATTAACAGTAACATTGGGCCTAATGGCAAATATAATTTAGAACGCAATCTAATCTTTTAGAGTAGTAGAAATTAAATAAAAATATGAAAAAGCATGTTTTAGACTTAATCTAGTCTTAGTCTTAGTTATTAGTTTTAAATTGTTTTATTTTTTTTTTTTCCTTATTTTAGAATTGATTGATTGATTCACCCAATTACTATTACTGTACTCATCGGTATGATCCGGGAAGTGCCGAAAACCGGGTATCGTGATTTCGTTGTCAAAATGGCGACCTCCACTTTTTAATTTACCGAGGGTTGTGTTTTTTTAAGATTTTTTTGCTAAAGTTAGTTTTGTTATTAAATTCTATTTCTGCCCTCAACTTAAAGCAGACATGTTTGTTGTTCATTTGACACTTTTCTTTAAGAAAAAATGTGACAGCTTGACATTGAAAATTAATGGTAAATAATAGCTAATTTGACTCTTTCATAATTTTTTGTGTGGAAAATGTAAGTTTAAAAAGAGAAAATACTAATGTGAGATGTAGGCATAAATGACAACATATCCAAAATTTGTGAGGTTAGGACCCCGGCATGGGTGAGAAATTTTTGTCACATGTGTCCCAAAATTACCTATTATCGATAATGGACTTTTTGTAATAAGTAACTTGATTTACACTGGAAATCCAGCATATTACCCACTAATAACTAATTTTGAAACAAAGCAAAAATTTAATAGCACAAATACCTATTTATAATATTATCTGATGCTTTTATTTTGAGGTATTAATTGGGGGAGGGGGATAAATAACCCTAGCCTTAGTAGTTTTATTACACTTATAGTAGGAAAATATATATACATATATATATATATATATATATCCTATAAGTCTAGTATAGTATAGACCTAGTGACATCCCAACTTGTTATTGCAGAATCTATTATAGGTAAATGATATTAATGTCTATTTAATCATATTTTAATGAACATTATGATTCTTAAAATAAAATTAAAAATGTAAATATTCACTTACCTTTGATATTGAAATATCCCGTATTCACTCACAAATCACAATATTCCACAAGAAACTTATTATATAATATAATCCTCAATATTCAAGAAATAACACTACCTGCCACGTTGATCCAAGAATTTCTTAAGATATTATTAAAGAATAATCATAAAAGCTTGTACTTACCTCAAGCAAATGACTAGAACTTATTTTAATTTCTATCAACTGCCAAAGTTGATACATTTTGATTTGTGAAACAAGATTACTAACTTAAAATAAAGAATCTACTATTTTTTTGGTCATATTCAAATGGGACTAAAAATGCATATATAGAAAATGGAAAAATAAAAAGTATAATTGTCAATTTTAGATAAAGGAATCAAATAATCCCTGTATTATTATTTGATACTTAAAAATGTTAAACAATTCCATTGAAAATTTGAAATTAATATCTAAAGAATATTATTATTATTATAAAATTAGGGAAATTTAATATATATATGTTTCTTAAAAATAAATTAATTAAATACAAATAAGTGACGAGTCAGCAAATTTGATACATTTTAATAAGGAAAATTATCAAGATTAAAAATATTTTTTGCGGAATATTAACAAAAACTACAATTGTATTTTGTGGCTTAATTTTGAAGAACTCATATTTAACTGTGTTCCCTGTAAATATTATATTTTTGTCTCATTTTATAACAAAGTTATAGGCATACAAACAATAGCAATATAAGGGGGACGAAATGTGGAGGAAAATCCCATAGTGAAAAAGTGCTTGTGAGGTCCATACTAAAAAATTCATAACTTTGGAACCACTTGAGCTAGAAAGTTGATCTTGGTGTTTTTGTAAACCATTCTATTGACTCTATACAGCTGTAGTAGTTTTATATTTTTTTAAATGTTTAGAAATTTTCATAGTAGTGTTAACACTGAAGGGTGACTGTGACTCTAACTAGCGTCACATTGACTTTGACTTTCAATAACTTTCCAGACTTTCTTCAATGAGACCCTCATACTGATGACTATAACAGTAATAACACTGAGTAGAGTCGTAATTCTTGACACCCCCCCTCCCCCTCCAGCGCACACATACACTATTTTTTCTTTTTTGATACATGACATCATTATGGACTGCCCATTGTCCTTTCGATGGAGAGTAGAAATTAAGAGATTCTCTCCATATTTTTAAAGACTAGTTAATTCTCACTTGCATGTCGCTGAGCTAAATAACTTTCAAATGTTCGGACAACAAATCGTGAAGTCTCTTATTAGGAGGAGGTTGTAATTCTTATTGTCCAATGTTCTTTCAGAACCTAGAAGTTAAAGTTTTATCAAAATGGAACCACCAATGGAACTTTTTGAAGCCCAGGCTGGCCTTACTGCAAAATCTAGATCAACAGTATTGGATGCAGCTATTGATTTCACAGGGGGTACTCTTGGTAAGTTCATTGGCTATTCATTTTAATGATTAATTTGCAGATTATTATTATCATTGACATTTAAAGTAATACAGTATTTAGATTATAGAATTTTATATATTTAAAAACAAATTAAAGTAATAGATGCATTTTTTTTCAAAAATGAAAAAAAAATAGAATTGAAGTTAATACATAATTTACTCTAAAATGAAACATTTCGTTCATATTTTGTGTTATTGCTGTTTTCTCTACAGGTGGCATAACAAGTGTCTATGTGGGACAACCTTTGGACACAGTCAAAGTTAAAATGCAAACATTTCCTGCTTTGTATAGAAATGGCCTTGATTGTTTTTTGAAGACTTACAAGCAAGATGGTATAGCAAGGGGACTTTATGCTGGGACTGTGCCATCCTTGGCAGCTAATATATCTGAAAATGCTGTACTTTTTTGTTTTTATGGTGTATGCCAAAAATTGGTAGGTATGCAACTTGATGATGTTTTATCTTATATTTTTTATATTTTTATATTTTTTCAAATTTAATTTCTCTGACCCTACTGTAGTGGTTTTTTACCTCCTTTATCTTAAGACACTAAACTTAAATTATTAAAATTCTTTGACCCACTAAACAAATGCAAGTGTTTAGAATAAAATGTTGGCTGTTTTGGAGATTATTATCTACACCAATTATTGGGTTAATTAGATTAGATTAAGTGGATTAGTTTAAAGTTCCTATTTTACTTTGTAGACACAAATGGCTCAAAAAGTTTTGCATTGACTTTTTCCATTTATATCCTATTCTTGCGACACATATGTGAATCTTTCAGATGTGTTGCCGACTAATTGAAAACCACTGATCCATTGCCATGGATAAATTCACCCATGAACAAATAAATATTGATTTGTAGTTAATTTTTTATTTCCTACTCATTTTCTTTTTGACATTTATTTATTATGATTTAAACAGCATACTTTTCTTTTAAATGGTTATACATTTAGGTAGCGAGACTCATGGGTGGTAAAGAGATCTTGTCTCTAAACCCACTTGAGAATGCAATATCAGGTGCAATGGCAGCTTTCTTTTCTTCCTTCACACTGTGTCCAACAGAACTTGTCAAGTGCAGACTTCAAGCTATGAGAGAAATGGCTACAAAGGGGCAACTAGAGGGTGGACTGGAGCGTCTCAAAATGTAATAAATTCACTTAGTGAATAATAATTTAATGTCTGATGATTGAAAGTTTACCAACAGTAGATATTCACCATGTATCCTGGAATATAAAAGCCATAGTGAATAGATATTATTCACCACATATCCTGGAATATCCAAAACATATTGAATAGATATTCAAATTTATGTTAAAAAATTATTAAAGCTGAGTAATTTTTTAACATTTCCATAGTGGCCCATTTGGATTAACTAAAGAAATTCTTCAGGCAGAAGGTATACGAGGGGTGTACAAAGGGTTAACTGCTACCTTTCTCAGGGAGATGCCAGGTTATTTCTTCTTTTTTGGAGCCTATGAAGTCTCCAGGATTTTTTTAACCCCTGAAGGCAAAACTAAGGATGAAATAGGTAGGCAATACTTTGTATTTAAAATATGATTATTATTTTTTCTAAAGTTATTCATAGCTGTAAAAAAAACTGTGCTTAACAACTAATACAAATATTTATAATTAAGTCAAATTTTGATCTCTTTTTTTTTGTTCACATGTAGTTCAAAAATATTTAGTGAATAGTAATTTTTAATTGTAATAAAACATTTCTATTGCCCTTTGAATGGCCAGACATTTTTTGCATACTATCTCTTTGTTAATACAAATTTCAATGGACTTACCAACAACTTATAATTATATTACTACTGGATTTCAGTGGTAAATGTCTTATTGTAACACTTGTTATGCAATCTGAATTACAGGAGCCTTGAAAACAATAATATGCGGTGGTATAGGAGGTGTTGGTTTATGGGTGGCCATCTTCCCTGCAGATGTAGTGAAGTCTCGTATACAAGTGCAGTCAGTGTCAGGTGTTCCGCCAACATTCAGAACTGTTTTCATGAGGATATTGCGTCAAGAAGGTGACTTATTCATATATATGAGTACATGAGACTTCCACATTGATCTATTTACATCACTTTTTTCATTCATTAACAGCATGATTTATTCATTCATCTATTTTGGCTCACTTGTGTCAAATTGTAAAATTAAACTTTTAATTAAATTAAATTTTATTTTATTTTTTTATAGGGATGCATGTTTTTGATTTATAACTTTATTTTCATTGTTGTATACTTTATCAGAGATTATTAAGGTACTTTTTTACCCTCTTTTCAACTCAGGTTTTAAAGCTTTATACAATGGCCTAGGGCCTACAGTTATCAGAACTTTCCCTGCCACCGGTGCCTTGTTTTTAGCCTATGAGACCACCAAGAAATATCTGGGAAAGCTTCATGAATACATGACCAACTCAACAAGTGTATAGCCAGATAGTTTGTACTCATAGACGTTCACTGTGATTTATAGTTTGGCTGTAGGATAAAAAAATTGAATGTAAGTAGTTTCAAAAGATTGTGTGTGGATCTGAGTATTATCAAGAGATTGATCGGATAAAATATTAACATGTTTTTTAGACCTTGACAGAGTAGTCAAAAAATATTCAAGGGTCGATTGGCTGTGTGTGGTTGGGGGGGGGGGGGGG